ACAGGTTTTTGTTGTTGATGTGTTTTGGTTTTTTGTTTGTTTCTTTTAAATCTCTTAATAAGGTGAATTATGCAGGTTTGGTTTTGGTTTTGTATTATTTAAAACCTCCTTCGTCTACAGAATGAGTTCAGGGCAAACCTAAGTAAGTTACCTAGATCCTTTCTCAGAATTTAAAATTTCAAGGGCTGGGGGCATTAGCTAGGGCTGTAGTTCAGTGAGAGAAGGCTTGCCTAACATATTCACGGGTCTGGGTTTGATCTCTACTGAAAAGAAAACAAACAAACAAAAAAACCTGAGTGTATATATTTTAGTGTGTATGTGTTTGGCTTGTGGTGAATTGTTTCCTTGTGTTTTCTCTAATTTTGTTTAAAAAGTCATCATCTCATCTTCAAGTCTCAACTCTGACTGAGAAGATGTCATCTTTGAGAGCTTATGCAGCCGGTCAGTCATCCATTGATGGTCCAAACTGAGAGTTGCAGTCTCCTGTCTACCAGTGTCCCATTAGTCCAGAGTATTTACAGCTTTCAAACCTGAAGACTTCATAAAACACACTATATTTCTTGGTGTAATTGCTCCCATGGTCTTAAGCATTAGTTTTCAGTTGTTGCTGTAACAAAGTAATTAGTGGTTGATCACAGCTTACTGTGCTCATAGTTGTAGAGGTCAGAGATCTGCCTTGCGTTTTCATGGGCTGCAGTTAACATGTGGCTGGGTTGCACCCCTTTTGGATGTTTTAGGGCAGAATCTCTTGCCTTGCCCCTTTTCAGCTTCTAGTGGCCTTCTGAAGTGCCCCCACCCCCCCCACCTCTCGATTGCTGCTTCTTCATCTCTGTAGTTTTGTTTTTTTGGAAACAGGGTCTTTCTTTGTGATATTAGCTACCCTTATACTAGCTAGGAAGCCCATCCTGGTCTTGAACTCACAGCAGTCCTCTTGTCTCAGCCTTCCAAATGCTGAGATTATCCTTCCTCTTCTTATCAGCAATGACCAGTTGAGTCTTTTTCAAACTGTGCTTCTGATCAGTGCTGATCCTTTTGCTCTGAGAGTCACTTAGAAAAGGCTCTGTGATTTCATTTCGCCTACTCTGATACCACTCTAATCATCTTTGTCTCACAGGCTTCTTCATTATAGCTATAAAATTGTTCACCTGCTTAACACTGAAATGTGAATTTTAAAAAAGATGCTGGCTGGGGTATGGTGTTCTATGACAAAGGCCCAGCACTAGAGAGGCAGAGGCAAGAGAATCTCTATGAAATGAGGCAAGCCTAATGAGTTCCAGGATGTTCAGGGCTTCATAGAGAGACCCTGTTTCAAAACAAAGCAAAAAAGAAGCTGCTTCATGTTTGATGTTTTAAAAATGTTTTTGTAAAAGTTCTCACTCTGTAGTCCATGTTGGCCTTGAAACTGTTGTGGGTTCAGTTTGGTCCTATCCCTTTCTCTGTCTTTTTAGATCTCTGCTTTTTCTCTTTTCTTTCCTTTCCTTTCTTTTTTTTCCTTTCCTTTCATTTTCTTCTCTTCTTCTTCCTTCTCCTTTTCCACTTCTTCTTCTCTCCTCTTCTTGCCCCTCCTCCCTCTTTTCTTTTCCTAACACACCTTATAAAAATTAATATTATAGTTGCATGTGGTGGCACATACCTTTAATCTTAGCAGATCAGGCAGAAAGGAGATCTCTCTTGAGTTCAAGACCAGCCTGCTCTACACAAGAAACTCAGGGCAGCCAGGACTACACAATGAGACCCTGTCTTTAACAACAACAACAAACACCCAAACAAAAGGAATATTACATAATGAAATTAAAAATGCAAATCTCATTAAAATGTTTAACAGACATGGTTTAAGTCAATACTGTGATATTATGTAAAATTGTTAAGATTGGTTAGAAACAGAACAAATTACACCTTTGCTGATTCTGACTTTTATATATTGCTGTGTTAAATTTTGAGAAGTAAAGTATGCTTTGGTTGTGTCCTGACTACACATGGACTCTGTTGCTGTCATATTAAAGGCTTCAGGTCTGTTCCTGAAACTTTGGAAGTTCCCTTTATCAATTTCATTAAGTGGCCTTATAATGTAAAGACACCAAGGACAAAAATATCAAACTTGGGAACAGGTCCAAGGAAATTATTCATGGAACTAGTTTTGCCACCGGAAAAGGCTTGTTTGTTGTAGATGAGGTATATAGAGCAGTTACCGCTCACCACTTTCATACTTCGTCATAAATACCAGGCATAAATACCTGTCTTCTAAAACATCACACTTGCTGCCAGTTTTACTAACTGACATCAACTATAATTTGTAAGAGCGCATCATTAACATACAACCAAGGAAGAAGAGAAGGAAAGTCAGTCTTTAAATTTGTTCCATTAAGAAAAAAAGTGTTCTCCTTATCTTTCAAATCCAATAGCTAATTTTGAGTGAAACAAGTTTGGAAGGTTAGGTCATCAGTTCTAAAAAAAAAAAAAATGCTGCCATTTGTGCTCATATATTTAAATTTGTTTTTAAAATATAAATACTAGTATTAGTTATGTCTGAGAAATATTTTCCTAAGTCTTATTTACAAACACGATGAATGGCAAAGATGGAAATGTTAAAATAGGAAGGTATGAGATGAAATGTATTTACATAAAAACTCTCAACTTTTTAGAAATCCCTACATATTTTGTATATATACATATGTACATACCTCTTGGTCATTGGACCTAAGGCGCAAATAAATGTAATAATCACAATTAAATTCTTATTAGGTCTTTTAGTGACATATCAATGTGATTTAAGTAGAGTAGTACCTACAGATATACATGCTCTTATGGTTTGATGAAAATGCTATTCCTGGTGGCCTTTTTTTTTTTATTTAACTCAAATGGCACATTATACTTGGTAACACTAATCAAAGAAAAATGCAGAGACCATTCAGATCACACTTATGAATGTTTGGCTGAATATTTCCTTTCTGTAGCTGAAGTGTAGAGATTAGATTTGTTTCTATCATGCCTTTTAAACCAAGCTTGGTTAAGGTTAATTGTGGGACAGTCGTCTCTTTTTACCAGTTTATATAGTCTGTGCATATGTACCATTCACCATCAGAATGCTGCCTTCCCTGTGGAGCTCAGCACTGCTCAGCTGGTTTAGGTAACACTGTGGACCCAGCGTGGCCATTGCCTTCCTCAACTTGTGCAGTCTTCAAGAATACTAAGGACTCACAGCACAGACAGGGTATTGGACCTGGGACAAGTGGCTCTTGTTTTTGCTGTTAGGGCTGAAAAGATTTTCCTGCCTTTTCTCTACTGAAATTCCCCATTTCATAGCTCTAAGGAAAAGTCAGTACTGTGCCTCTTCTCTTTAAGTCTCATTTTTTTAAAAAATTTACTGCTCTAGAAGTGGAGTGACCTAGGAAAATGGAGCCAATAAACGAGGTGAACTAAAATCTCATGCCATAGCCAACTTTATTCAGAGCGTCAGACAACTTATACGTGACGGTTAAGAGGAGTCGTGGGAGTAAAGTGTACAGTCACAAGGGCAAGTTGCCCATGGCAAAACATGTTTTTCCATAGAGTCATATAAACAGGTAAAGCCAGTTGTAATGTGTAATCTGAAGTCAACTCACTCTTATCTGCTTTGTCTGGGAGCAGCACGGAAGCATAATCTAAGAGCAGTTCCCTGTTTTTGAAGAAACTGAGGTCACAAGGCTTTTGTCTTGGATTCTTGGAGGTTTTTTCCAAGCACTCAGAAATCTCACATAGACTCCAATCTTGGACCATGTTCTGACACTCTGTGTGTCTTTTTAAGTGCCATGGTGGGGATGGAATTGAACCCGTTCTTTAGGCCTAATAGGCTAAGTACTCTATCACCGAGTTGCAACTCCAGTCCTTGGTTTTTCAGATGTGGTCTTCCTGTGTTTCTAAGGGTGCCCTGACGTTGCTGCTTCTGCTTCATTCTGCCTGAGTGCCAGGAGGCAGGCACATTGCCATTGCATAGCCTCAGCAGCTTTCCTTCCATTCTCTTCTTCCTTCTCTACTTATCACTCCTTCACCAATCATTCTCCTCTTTACCCCTCTTCCCATCCCCTCCTTTCGCCTCCTCCCCCTTCCGCCAGTCTTCTCCTGCTCTCCCTCCCAGCTCCTTTTTCCTTCTTCCTCTCTTTTATTCTCCCCTCTGCCCTGCCTTTTCCTCTTTTTCCTTCTCCTTTACTCCTGCCTTCTTCCTCACTTCCTTCTGTCCTGTTATTTTATTTTTGAGGCAGAATTTCACTCTGTGCTCAGGCTGGCCTAGAGCTTGGTCTGTCGCCCAAGCTGATCTCACACTTACTACAGTCAGTGCCAGGGTTACATGGGTGTGTCATCAGACCCTTCTTTGAAATGTTTTATCTTTTTCTGACTTTAATTTGGGCCAAAGTTGTGGTGTATGTAGATATAGCTATATCATTAGACTTTATTTCACAAATCTCTCCTCCAAATTGGGTTTTATGTGAAGGTTGCTAAATGTCAGTCACTTTTACTTGAGGGATTATAATAAAAATTCAAGCTCTGTTATACCTTTTTCTATCCTTAGTCTTGCTTTCTAGAGTTCTTGTATATAGTACATAATATGTGCTAGGGTATTTTATACATGTGAGTAAATACGAATTAACTTATCTTACAACAGCTTGCTGTAGTGGTGCACAGATTTAATCCCAACACTCAGGAGGCAGAGGTATATTGATCTCTGAGTTCCAGGTTAGCCAAGGATGCATAGGAAGCTCCTGTCTCAAAACATGGTCAGACAAGAAAACAAACAACATCAGTCTCTTTGCAGATGCAGAGGCTAGGTAACTTAGACAGGCTTATACACTATTTAAAAATGGTATCCTGTTGACTGGTTGCTCCGAAAAGCCATCTTTACATTGTTTCCGGGTCCTGCTCTGCTCTTGCTGCAGCCAGCTTCACTGCCACCTCCTCCACTAGAACTTTGGCAGCTTTCTTGCCAGCGTCCTCCAACTCGATTTCTTTCTCACTTGGCATGCCCCATGTTAGATGAGGTGGTGAACACTAGCTCTGAGATCACCACCAAAGACTTGAAGAAGGAAGTTGTGGAGGAGACAGAGAATGGAAGAGATGCACCTGCCAGTGGGAATGTTAATGAGGAAAATGGGGAGCAAGAGGCTGACAATGATAAAGGGGAAGAGGAGGAGAATGAGGAGGATGAAGAAGGTGACAGTGAGGAAGAGGACAGAGATGAAGATGAGGAAACTGAGGCTTCTATGGGCAAGCGGAGAGCTGAAGATGATGAGGATGATGGTATTGACACCAAGAAGGAAAAGACTGATGAGACAAGATAACAAGCAGGAAAAGCTAAACTTAAGGGACTGTGACCTCTTCACCCTCCACTTCCCATCTCAGAATTTAAACGTGGTCACCTTCAGTAGAGAAGCAGGTCCTGCCCATAGTGGGCAGTGCTACCCACAGATGATATGTGTGTTCCACACCCCACTAAAACCACAACATGAATTCACAACAGGAGAGAAAAAAGAACCAAAAAAAAAATACTTTAAAAGAAAAAATTGTATTTTTATATACATTTTACGTTTTTGTACATAGTAGGGGTCATCCATTTTTAATGATAATGGGTGACCAAACCAGCCTTCAGAGTGTTCTCTGTCCTCTTCTGACTCTACTTGTGTGACCATGTTCATTATAATCTCAAAGGAAAAAAAAAAAGTTGTAAAAAACAACAACAACAAAAGTCTTATTCCGAGTATTCCAGTAACGTTTTTGTGTACATACTTAGCTCTATTATAAGTAGTCGGTTTAAAAGGCCAAAGGTAAAAGATTTTTTTCTTTTGTCTATGAAGTTGCTGTTTATTTATTTATTTTTGCCTGTTTGATGTATGTATGAAATAGTATCAAACAATAAATTAGAATTTTATTTTGCTGAGTTGTTCTAACAGAAAACTGACATCATGTTAACCAAACAAAGTTGCTTTAGCATCTGTTATTACTTGTTGTACTATCCTCCTTTTTCTAGACTTTTCTTTGTTGTAGGGAGACAGTGCTATAGTTTAGAGTATAAACCTGAGGCCTTACACATGGCAGAGAAGCACCGATAGCTGAGCTCACCCACGGCCCTCTTTTAAGCTTCTAAAGGCAGTGTTTTGCCTCATCTGTTCCTGCCACAGTCTTGGAGACAACTGAAGTCTCTGAGTACAGAGCCAAGGTTGGTCCAGAACCAAGATTCTCCTTGCTTCTGCACGGATTACAGACATGCTCTGTCAATTCTGGATGTTTTAAGTGCTTTTGTAATTAACTTGTCTTTTTGTTTTCTTTCAGTCAACTTTTTGAATATTTATTTTATTTAGTGGCTGGTGTGTGTGTGTGTGTGTGTGTGTGTGTGAGAGAGAGAGAGAGAGAGAGAGAGAGAGAGAGAGAGAGAGAGAGAGCGCTCTTACAGGGCTTGCCTAACTGTTGGTCTTACTAAGAGGATGCTGTGCTGCCCCTTGAGGGCAGTTTCTATCTGGAGATGAGGACACTATATATTTTTGCTGTGTTATCTTTTCTAAATATACCATTCTTCATCTCTTTAGGAAACTTCCTTCAGTTTTACTTTTTGGTTATATCTATTAATTTTTTCTTTTCAAGTTTCAATAGTTATCTTTAAAAGAGTTATGTTTACCGATTAGTTTTTATTCTTCATGAAAGCTCTTTTTTTACCCCCCCCCCCAACAGGGTTTCTCTCTATAGGCGTTATTGCCCTGGACTCACTTAGTAGGCCAGGCTGACCTCAAACTCACAGAGATCTGCCTGCTTCTGCCTCCCTGACTGCTGGGATTACAGGCGTGGGCCACTGTGCCTGGATTTTACGTTTTAAGTTCTTGTTTTTTTTTTTTTTTTTTTTTTTTTAAATTTCTTTTTTTTTTTTTAAATTTTTTTTTTTTTTTTTTTCTTTCCCCAGATTCTGTTTCTGACTTGTTTTATCTCCCTTCATTCCTTATGGAATTTGGTAATCAGTTTTTGTTTGTTTGTTTTGTTTTTAAGAATTTAAAGAATTAGAGACTATAATGCCTAACTATAATTCCTAACTAGCTTTGTTGTTATAGTGTTAATATTCTTGTTTTTATTTTTTAAATAAAAAATATTGAACATTTGTATGTGTGTTTGTCTGCATTTGTGTCTGTTTGTTTGTCTGGTGTGTCTATACACATGCCTTAGCAGTTGTGATCAGAGGAACCTACTGGAATTTGCTCTGATCTGTTACTCTGTAGGGTGCAGGAATTGAACTTAGGTTGTCAGGCTTGATGGCAAAGCCTTTGCCTGCTGAGCCATCTGGCCATTTAGCCTTTCATTATTTTGTTTTTTAACTTTTGCACATGTATATATTATGTGTTGAGCATATTCCCTAACTACCTTCCTTTTCTCTTTCTCCCCACCACCCTCTCCCATTGGTCACTTTTCCTAGATAACTTTCTTTTCTGTTTGTTTATTTATTATTGGGGTAGGGTGGCATAACATGGTGTGTATGTGGAGGTTAGAGGAAACTTTGGTGTTGATTTTCTCCTTCCACCTTTACATAGTCTCTTAGTTAGGGTTACTATTGCTGTGATAAAACAACATGAGCAAAAGTAATTTAGGAAGAAAAAAGTTTATTTGGCTTACACTTCCACATCATAGTCCATAACTGAAGGAAATAAGGACAAGAATCCAAACAGGGCTGAAACCTAGAGGCAAGAGCTGATGCAGAGGCCATGGAGGGGTGCTGCTTACTGGCTCTTCCCCGTCTGTCACTAATTAAGAAAATATCCTACAGCTTGCCTATAGATTACTGTGGCTTTTGACATAAAACTGGCCAGCACACATGGGTTCCACATACATTCAGGTTGTCAGGCTTGCCTAGCAAGCAAGCAAGCAGCCTTCTCTGAATCATCTCTCTTCCCCCTTACTTTTACTTTCTAGCCTAGTTGTAACTCAGCCTGGGATGGGACTTGGGATCCTTCTGCCCATTGCTCCCAAGTGTTGCTATTATAGTCATGGGCCACCATGCCTAGTTATTTTATAATAATTCTGACTCAAGTGTTTCATATTATGTGTTTCCATGGAGTCTGATTTTGCAGTTCATATTTTTGTAAGAAATCTATTTTGTTGTATGTGTGTGTGTGTGTGTGTGTGTGTGTATGCCATTCTGAATCAAGTTAATTTCAGAGTTGATTAGGACCTTGTTTCAGGCCTATTGAACAGAGCTCTGTAACAGAATTTTGGGCATAGGGCCATTTCCAGAGTCTGGTCCAAATAAACAGTAGACAAAGATTGTCTTTTTCTTTTGCTGAAGGCATTCTCTATGTAGCTTGTCTCAGACTTTTTCTACCCATCTCTGTTTTCTATTCAGGTCAAAAGGATTTAGATTTTGATTTCTTAGTTGTTTTCAGCAAATATATATTGTGGCTTTATTTATATGTAAGAGCCCTTCTTTCCTTGAAACCTGTAATTTAGTGGCAGTTGTGAGGTTCCTAGGTTTCCTGATAAACACATTGTAGAAAATAAGGACATATCAAATAAGGACACGACTGCTGTGCTTTAATCTTCCTGACAGGGTTGTTGGGTCATCCCCCCCCCACCTTTCTTTACTGCAAGATTTTAAAAAGAAGCATATGTATTCTTCCCCTCTCACCGAAGTAACAAGGACAAGAAGAAGAACACATCTAAAACAAATTATTTCTTTGTGGTAATTTTACATAACTAATTTTATGTTTTAATTTTAATTTCTTTCTTCACCATTTATTCATTATATATCCTGATTGAAGCTCCCTCCCTCAACTACCCCCAGTCCCACCCTCCCTTCCTCTTCCCCTCTTCTCCTCATCCTCTTCCACTAGTCCACTGAAAGGGAGAATTCTCCACCATTGCCATCTGCCCATAGCTTATCAAGTGTCATCAGGACTGCCTGGATCTTCTTCCTTTGTGGCCTGGCAAGGCTGCATCATCAGGAACAAGTGATCAAAGAGCAGTCAACAGAGTTCATAATAGAGGCAGGCCCTGATCCCCCTCACTCTGAGATCCACATGGAGACTGAGCTGCCGATAGGCCACATCTGAGCAGGGGGTCTAGGTCCTCTTCATGCATGGTCCTCTCTTGGTGCATCAGACTCTGCAGGACTCCCTGGGCTCAGATCCTTTAGCTTTGTTGGTCTCCTGTGGGGCTCCTGTTCCTTCCATGTCCCTCTTTCCCCACCCCTCTCTTCTTCCATAAGACTCCTGCTCTCTGCCCAAAGTTTGGCTGTGAGTCTCAGCATTTACTTCAATCCCCTTTTGGGTGGATCTTTTCAGAGGACTCTCTGTGGTAGGCTCCACAATTTCTGTATCCATTCCTCTGTTGAGGGACATGTAGGTTTTTTCCCAGATTCTGGCTGTTACAAATGAAGCTGCTATGAACATAACTGAGCAAATGTCCTTATTGAATGGTGGAGCATCTTTTGGATATGTGCCCAGAAGTGGTATAGCTGGATCTTGAGGTAGTACTATTCTCAATTTTCTGAGAAAGCGCAAGATTGATTTCCAAAGTGGTTGTACAAGTTTGCACTCCCACCAACAATGGAAGAGGGTTCTCCTTTCTCCACATCCTCTCCAGCATGTGTTGTCACTTGAGATTTTGATCTTAGACATTCTGATTGGTGTAAGATGGAATCTGAGTTGTTTGGATTTGCTGATGGCTAAGGATGTTGAGCATTTCTTTAAGTGTTTCTCTACCATTCGATACTCCTCTTTTGAGAATTCTCTGCTTAGCTCTGTACTCCATTTTTAATTGGATTATTATTATTTTTTGTGTGTGTGTGTGTGTCTGATTTCTTGAGTTCTTTATATGTTCTGGATATTAACCCTCTATCGGATGTAGTGTTGGTGAAAGTCTTTTCCCAGTCTGTAGGCTGTTGTTTTGTTCTGTTGGCAGTGTCCTTTGCTTTACAGAAGCTCTTCAGTTTTATGAGGTCCCATTTATTGATTGTTGATCTTAGAGCCTGTGCTGTTGGTATTCTGTTCAAGAAGTTGTCTCCTGTGCCAATGAGTTTGAGGCTCTTCCCCACCCTTTTTCTTCTAACAGGTTTAGTGTGTCTTGTTTTATGTTGAGATCTTTGATCCACTTGGACTTTAATTTTGTGCAGGATGATAGATATGGGTCTAATTGCATGTTTCTACATGGGGATTTCCAGTTAGACCAGCACCATTTGTTGAAGATGCTATCTTTTTTTTCCATTATATGGTCTTGGCTTTGTAAAAAAATCAAGCGTCTCTAGGTGTGTGGGTTTATTTTCTGCGTCTTCATTGATCCACCATTCTGTTTCTATGCCAGTACCATG